ACTGGACGATAGTTGTTTAAAACGCCTGGATCCAAGGATGGTTTCTTCAGGAGAGGTCTCACCACCGCCGCCTTAAGAGCGGGGGGAAAGACCCCCTCCTGAAGGGAGGCGGTAACAAACGCCTGGATCCAAGGATGGTTTCTTCAGGAGAGGTCTCACCACCGCCGCCTTAAGAGCGGGGGGAAAGACCCCCCTCCCGAAGGGAGGCGGTAACAACCGCCTGGATCCAGCCCCGTGTCACCTCTCTGCTGTTGACAGCCAGCCAGGAGGGGCACGGGTCCAGCACGCATGTGGAGGCACCTACAGCTCTTATGGCCTTGTCCACGTCCTCAGGGGCAACAGCCTGAAACTCAATCCAGCGATGACCTACCAGATTATCCCCTAGTGCTTCGGCTGGTTCTGCAGGGTTGGAGTCCAAGTCCGCCCGAAACCGAGCAACTTTATCCGCGAGAAACTGGACGTAGTCCTCAGCCCTGCCCTGCAAAGGATCACCCGTATCCCTCCTATTTATGAAGAGACAGGAATCTTCTTGAATCTTCTGTAAGAATTAGGATATCAACCACACACGTTCTAATCATCCGTGCAAAAGAAAAGTCACCCAACCTGCCCACCTGTAAGGAAAATTGGGAAGATACTGCTCTTCATATATTCTAATGGCAATTTCTCCTTTCATTTTAGTTAATGAGAGGGGAATCTTCATTCTCCATTCGATGGTATTTTTTTCCTGGTTTATAATATGTCCAATAAAGTCACCCCCTTTCCCTCATGAATTTCCCTTAATTGGATTTTTTTAAACCCAGTTTCCTGGACTTGCTTGTACTCTGGAAGATTAAACATTCGGAGCGGCAAAGAGGTTTTCTATTTCGAATTAGGAAACGGTTAATTTGTTTCCTCAACAAACTTTAACTACCCGTAGCTATCACTTGTTATTTCTGGATTTATTCACAAGCGCCGGGTTATTGATTGCAAAGCCACCGATTGGCATCCAAAACACTCTCTCCCCTGTTGTCAATCTAATCGTGCGGATTTTTGCCGCCCAGATCTGGCAGCCTTAGCTAAGCGCGTAATACGACGGGAGCGGGGCTATGGACACTCCCAGTCGAAAACGCTGAGGATCGTAGCTGCCGCTATGGAGGGAGCAGAGCCAGCCCGGTAGCTCGCGCCTCCGCCCTTCGGTGCAAACAGGAAGCCGAAGGGACGGACGGAGCGCCGGGTGCAGCGAACCCTGCGGAAGGAACCCCAGGAAGTAGGGCGCGGGCGGACGCCATGGCGGACGGGACGGGAAGCAGAGAGGAAGAAAGAGAGACTTTGCGGCGCTGGGAGCGGTAAAACGCCAGCCAGGCGGGGGCAACTAGGGCTAAAGAAGGGCTCGGGGAGGTCTTCCTGCCAGAGGGGAACCTGGGATTTGTATTTCTTTTGAGCTGCTGGGTTCTTGGCCCCGCCTCTTGGGTCCCTCGTGGCTGCAGAGGGATGGAAGGGCGCCTGCCTCCAAGGGCGCCCCCTGCCTGGCAGGTTCAGGGCGGAAAGGAAGCGTTGGGCTCTCGCGGAGCGTGAATCGCGATAACTTAAAAGCCCCCGAGCCTGGAAGGGAGGCTGCTGTGGGGGCCACGGGCTGGGGATCCCTGCCCTATGCTGAAGAGGTCTCGCTTCTAGACGAGAATGCCAGCAGCCCAGAGGCTGCAGATGAGGCACTGCGGTGCCTCCTTCCCAGAATTGGGGACTGTGGGTCTAGAGATGTCAGCTGCATTTCCCTGGTTTCTCTACTTAGGGCAAGGGGTCTCCAACTCTGTCAACTTTAAGACTTGAGGACTTCAACTCCCAGAATTCCTCAGCTAGCATGGCTGGCAGGAGGATTCTGGGAATTGAAGTCCACAAGTCTTAAAGTTGCCAAGATTAAGACCCCTATGGGTCTCTAATGATCTTGATTTGAAAGGTAAAAAAGGGAAGGGGAGCCTGGTCGGTGGAGGTCCTCATGTCACAGGAGCGCATTTTTTCCTGTTTTTCCTCCCTTTGGAGTACAGATCACCACATAGCCCTGCTTTCAATTTAATGACATTAATCCACCAGTTGAAAAAGGTTCATCAATCTATCAACATTCTCCATCAACATGAAAGCACAAGTCAGCAAAAGTCAAAAGCTGGAGCAGACCTGTTTGGAGAAAAATGCAGTGCAAGTAGAATCTTTCAGCATAGAACAAAGAGTAGAGAAACAAAGGCTCACAGGATAGCAACATAAATCTGTTACACAGTTAGTGAAGCGGAGAGGTTTTGCTCTCTGTTGCACAGTCCTGGAAGCTCAGATGACCCCATGAACGCTAGAGAAGACAGAAAATGTTAGAAAACACTGTAGGGTACTTAAAACAAGATCTTGGATACTGAGCTTTCCCATTCCTGTTAGTCTCATAAGTAGGCTGAAGGTCAGCAGTTGTCCATATCCCCCTAATCTATGTTTATGAATTGCTTAGTGGGATTATTGCCACCAGGACATTGTAGATATGTCAGCCCCAGTATAAAAGGGAATATTCTTCCACATACCAGTTACTGGACAACTTGAGTGGGATATTAGGTTCATTTCTTGCTTGTGGAGTCTCCACATCTGGCCAGCCATACTGGGATCTGAATATTGTATTTGACAGACTGCCAGATTCGTGTGGCTTTTTTAATGTTCTTAAGTGGATTAGTGGTGGAGGTATTGAATAGGGTCATTTCAAGTTCTTTGAAACCAATAAACATTCATGATTATCCATTTGAGAAAAAAATCTTTTTCAAAAATTTTGAAATAGTTCAACATTTGATTCTGGAAGCATCATTTGGTTTACATGCATATCTCTCCCTTTTTCAGTTGCTACCATTTTTTATATCGCCCAGAGTGCTTTTTACCTTAAATGATGCTAGGAACTGGCAGGTTTCATCTAGTCCTATTGTTTTTTGTAGTCAACAAATCCAGATGAAAGAAGATGTGATTGAACAAGACACAGAGGAATGGCAGAGCAATTTCTCCTTTACTGGACTGGAAAGAATTGGAGGAATGGATTTGTCTTATCTCAAAGAAGATGCCACATGTGCCTGTGCTTCACTGGTGGTGCTCAGCTACCCAGAACTTGAGGTAACAAAGATAAATGCTAAAGACATAACAAGGAATTTTTTAACTTCTAGGATTAATATATTAAGAAGACTAAAACTCCAAGTTTCCAAAAGTTTGACTATGCCTTAATAACTTCAATTTAGTTGTCTCGGTGGATTCCAGCTGAGATATTTGTTTCCATAGTAGAATTGAGAATAAACTATTGGAAGCAATTCAAGTATCAGTGGTGAATTCTGGGACTGTTGTCAAATTTAGGGGTATTCCAGCTGTTGTCAATTTAACTTGTCACTTTTCAAACTATGATCTCCCAGTCCCGATTCTCAAGTTGGCAAATGCTGAGGGCCATCAACCCATCAACATTCTCCAATGAGAAGATTATATAGCATTTTCAAAGTTTTGTAAATCTTTTGCCAGTTTTGCTGTCTCAGAATCAGGTTAGTGGAGTTAGAATTTTGCTTCTTATCAAAATTCCCATATGCATCATAGTTGCCTAGAAGAGCACCTCTTCAGAGGATGGTTACTTTAGAGAAACTCAGAAACCACAAGATCTGATAAATGAATGAATGGATATGAATGTTTTCCACTGTTTCAGCCATTCCTTAAAAAGATTTTCAGGCATATTTTTGATGTCTCCATGGAAAATGAGCTATTATGTGTGAAAATATATATGTTTTACCTTCTTGCAAGCATTTTTAAACATTTAAACTGTTTTAGCTGTAAGAGACCACAAATGTGATTGTCTGCCCGCTACATTGAGCAATCAAAATATTCATCACCTTGGCTGCCAAATACAAAATTCCAGAGTAGTCGAGGGAAAGAGAACTGGCAGGAGATAAGCTCCCCCCCCCCCCCAGCTCTGAGAATTGACGAAAGAGACAATCTCAACAGTTTGGTAGAGAAAGGAAAGGGATGTGATGCATGTTTTGTTTTAGTCTACATCAGAAGTAGGGAATTCTTTTTCTTAGCTGGATTTTTATTTCTTTCTTGCTTCATATTTTCAGGAAATACTTAAATGAATCTTTACTTATCATTTTAAAGCACTCTCTAGAACTGGAGGGAGCAATCTGGTATTGCAATGATGGTAGATGCTTGCACAGCCTTGTATCAGTTCTCACCTTACATTTGCAAACACGTGAGAAGGTTAAATTTGATCCACCTTGCTGATTTGCTTGGGGCATGCCAAATCGGAACTGGGAGCTCCCTTCAGTTCAAGGGTTGTGGCTGACCACTTCTGACCTAAATGACCTTGAAAATATTAGTCTTGCTGCTTAGCAAAAATGTCACTTGTTCTTCTGTCATCGCAGGTCCTCTATGAAGACTGCTACGTGGTGGCTGTGAATGCCCCCTATGTGGCAGGATTCCTGGCTTTCCGAGAAGTCCCTTTTTTGCTGGAGGCTGTACAACGGCTGGAGACACAGAAGCCTGGCCTTAAACCCCAGGTGGGATAGTCTGTGTTAATGAAAGGAGTGCTGCTGCTTTATGCCAAGGATATATTTCATCCAGTATTCCCCTCCTTCAAAGAATTAATAGCCAGGGATTCAAGACTTCTGGCCCCTAGTATTTCTTGGCTTAGTCCCTATGGATATGGATGTTCCCTGTTTTCTCTTATTTGAAGGCCAGAAATCCTAAGAACATCTCTATGATCTCTCTAGGAGGACTAGGCCCAAAGCCAACCTCTTTAAGCTGTGCTATAGATCCAAAAGGACAGCTCAGTGGTGAAATTCATTTTTTTTTTACTAACGGTTCTGTTGGCATGGCTTGGTGGGCATGGCAAGGGAAGGATACTGCAAAATCCCCATTCCCTCCACACTCCAGGGCAAGGATATTGCGAAATCTCCATTCCCACCCCACTCTAGGGCCAGCCAGAGTTGATATTTGGCGGTTCTCCGAACTACTCAAAATTTTCGCTACCTGTTCTCTACAACCTGTCAGAACCTGCTGGATTTCACCCCTGGGACAGCTGCTCAAACCTAGTTTAAAAGCCTCTTTTGAGTCATCCAGTCAGAATAAAAAGCATCGTTCCTAAAACAGCCAGAGAGGCTTCATTTTTAGGAAACTGTGGAAGGCCCTAGCTCACCAAGACAGCCCAATTGGAGTCCCTCAGCAGCTTTTCTCTCATAAAACAGATGCAAAAAGGGATTCTTGGAACTAAAGCACCTAGCAAATGACAAGTCCCATAATTCCCAGTCTGCAAAGCCATTCCTTGCATTCACTTGAGAATGATAATATTTATAAACCTATACACCTGAAGAACACCAGCTGGGGTGGGATCTCAATTAAAAAATGTGCATGAATTTGGACGTGTCACTTTTTAATATATATCTGATCTCGAGGGAGGACAAACAATGCACTTGCTGTATTTCAGACTCAATAATGTTTTAGTGACAGATTTTGTGGCTAGATGTCGCTTCTTTCTTCCTTGGGTAAAGTAGGGAAGGTGGCCACCAAGGGTATTTGCCTGTTTTTTTTTGATACTTTGTGTATGCAAAGCAACACACTGACATCTCCATTACTGGAGAAAGCTTCCCACTGTATTATTGAGGTGCTCCTTTGTGGGTTTTCTTTTTTTTCTAGGTACTTCTTGTAGATGGAAACGGCATCTTGCATCACAGAGGTAAGTTTCCTGGCCCATCTTTGCCAGTAAATCCTTTAGATTTACTGTACTGTAAATTTGCATGTAGATTTAAAGTAAATCCTCGAGATTTACTTTCCATCTCTGAGATGTTTAGAGCATGCCTTGAATATGCCAACATGGGGAGTCACTGGTTGATTTCTCATTACTGTAGTGTTTGCAGAGCTCGTGGGGAGGAAATTATTTGTGTTCACTCTCTTGGCAGTCACCAGAGAGGAAGGAGGGACAGACAAAAGAATTCCATCTCCTCTACGTAGGCTGTACTAGCCTGATTGCTGACAGTAAGTGGAAAAGCTGTCCTCCCCCACGCCTAAAAGGAACAGCAGAGTAACTAGAAGGCATTTTGGTGAACATCAAGAAAAGCATTGCAAGGTTGACAGCAGCCTTATGTCCTTCATGGCTTGGCCTTCCTTTGGGAGCTTGTTCAAACTCATGTCCTCACAAAGTGGTGCCAGATTTTCTCTTCTCAACAAAATTGAAACTTCTCTCACTTGTTTTTTCTCCAACATCTCCTCTTTCTGCATTACATTCAACAGGTTTTGGCATCGCCTGCCATCTTGGTGTTCTCACAGGTCTTCCCTGCATTGGTGTAGCCAAAAATCTCTTGCAGGTTGAAGGTTTGGCCAATGATGAGTTTCACAAGAAACAAGTAAGTGTTGAAAGGTGTGAATTACATTTTACATTCTTAATTCCAAACAGTAGGGGATGGGGGGATGTTAGAAGAACATCTTGTCAAAATTGGAGAAGCTGCTATGTACAAATAGCTGTTCTGGCTGGGTTTTTTTTTCATTTAAAGTAGGAAAATGATGGAGTTAACCTTCAAGATGAAATATGTTCAGACTGAAGTACAATTAATTATGTAGTGACCAAGATGTACTGCCCACTGTGTGTTTAAAAAAAATACAGTTAACTATGCCTTCGTGGTGTGTGTGTGTGTGTGTGTGTGTGTGTGTGTGTGTTGCATGGTCTTGACACATGAAAATAATTGCAGAGGAAGCCACTTATTTCTATGCAGAGTAAAACCTTTAAAGGAGAATTTCAGCCAAGCTATTTTGGTTTCAGACTTTTATTCAGAGATTTCTGTATAGCATTGCCCCCAACCTTTTGGACACCAAGGACTGGTTCCACAGAGAAAGGTTTTTCCGCAGACCGGAGGGGATATGGTTTTGCATGCTGCCTGCATCTTGTCAAAATGTGGATGGGGCTTCGCTTGTTTGCACGGCCTGGTTGCGGATATGCTACAGACTGGTGCTGGTTCACAGACTGGGGGTTGGGGACCCCTGCTGTACAGAACAGCAATGGAGGAGAAACATTGATACTTGACTAGCACAACTCCCTTTTTTGTTTTTGTTTTTGCAGAAAAGGCTACAGTTTAGGATTTAATCTTGAATTGATCCAATTACGCCATCCGTCCCAACGTTTCCTCTGTAGTTAATTTCTTTCTCCACATTCCAGATCCAAGATCTTCAGGCAGGAGGAGATACATTCCCACTGAAAAGTACCTCTGGGAAAATCTTGGGTATGGTAAGTATTTTTGGAAAGGGGTGTCTGTCTATTGGAAGTAGCAATAGCAGTTAGACTTATATACCGCTTCATAGGGCTTTCAGCCCTCTCTAAGTGGTTTACAGAGTCAGCATATTGCCCCCAACAACAA